TGAGCATTTGATAAGAGCTGTTTTTAAAAATATAACAACCCCAAGCTTGAATACTTTTAAGCCACAGCCCACAAATAACAAATATTAAAATTGAGACTTTGTGATTTTGGGTTTTGAAAGCATAAATCTGAAGTTTATGCAAACGCAATTTTTTTTTTTTCAAACAAAATCCAACGTTTTGTATCATGAACAACAAAGATATAAGGATTTAATAACCTTGTCTCAGCTAGAGAAAGCTGGGCCTATAAAATCCACATAACATACATATAGAGCGGATTCTTCTGGACCCCAACGAAATGGAAAATTGTGGGACCTTGTCTTGATTATTGAAAATTGAAATATATTTGTCTTGGGGATCACCAAAAAATAAGGTTGTTGGACATAAATGATCTTGCCCACATGGCTTTCAATTGTTTTTGCAAAATTCAATATTTCTGTCAAACCAATCCGTTTCACTGTTTTTGAGTGGATGGATGTAGTTTTGGAACCCTTTTTACATCATACACAATAAACAGGACAAGGGATTGTCTTTAGTTTTCCCAGTAGGCCATGAGTTATGGTTGGTAAAATGGATTTGTTGGGTTTGGTTGAATAGTGTCAGACGTTAAACTCTCCTTCCCTCTTTCCCTCTCTCTTCTCTCTCTCGATCACTTTATCCGGGATGTAAATATATCGGATCGTATTCAAATCATGGTATATTTGAATCCCATACATATTCGAATTCAAATCTGTTAGTAATGCTGGATATCTAATATAATTCGATCCAGTTTAACTTTTGAAAATTTTTTAAAAATATAATAATTTATATAAAGAAAAAACAAAAAATGTCTTTTTTGGATAGGGGATTGATCCAAATCTAAATTCAATTTTCAATCGAATCCTATTATTTGATCCAATCCGAAATAAAACCGGAATATATCCGAACCCGATAAAATAAGATCTAATCTTTTTTTTTTTGCAGTTAATATGTATAAATATATTAATAATAAGAGAAATATACATGAGAATTAGCAGAGTTATAGCAGATCGAGATGCCAGAATATGAGCAGCCTGGTTCAAACAATTGATTGATTTTCTTAGTTAGCTCGATGATCTTTAGCCAAAAATATTTCTGGTTCCCTTGCTATGTTTGGTTTGAAGAAAAAAATAGGGAAAGAAAAGGAAAGGAAAGAAAAGGAAATCTTTACAAATCTTAGATAAATTTTCCTATATTTTTCTTTCTTTCCTTACTTTTTCCTTCAAACCAAACATAGCCTAAATCTAATTTTTTATTAAGGTCATTCTTGAGTCTTAACTACTGTTGGAAATGCTTAATTAAATAGGAGATAATTTGGTTCATATAAAGAAATAGATTCTTACAAGAATAAAACATAATAATAATAATAATAATAATAATAATAATAATAATAATAATAATAATAATAATAATAATAATAATAATAATAATAATAATAAAAGAAAGAAACTGAGAATTGGGGTATGTTGACACATGCTCTAACTTGCCAAAATGTACTAGATATTTCGATTTAGTCTGATATATATATATATATATATATATATATATTTTTTTTTTAATTTTTCTGCATATATATCAATATTTTATTGGTAATATATATGTTTACCTATTTGTTTACCTTTCAACGGGGAAAGAATTTATTTTCAGATGGGATTTTGTAAGTGAAAACAGGATTCATATAGTCGACTCATATAATTGGGATAAGGTATGGACGATGATGTAATTTTGCATGTAAACACAAAAAAAAAAAAAAAACTCTCGCTGTGGATCGGAAAGTCCATATCTGGTCCAAAATCTAGTTTGTGTGTGGACTGAGTAGTCCATGCCTAGGATATTAATTGGATCAGATTTAGTCTAATCCAATCCGGTCTAATATAAGTTTATTACAGATGGATCAGGTCCAATTCAATCCAATGAATATTTTGGACTTATTTTGAATTGGTCCAATTTTAATGTCTGAACCCTTCAATTTGTTCAAATTGATTTTAATTTAGAATGGTTCCAACCCAAATCTAGTCCATTGACACCTGTTTTCTAATCTTCTATCAATGGTCCGGGTATCAGTTCAAATGTTTAATCCGACCCAATTCAATATAAATCCATTAATGACTGACAAGGTCCAATACAATAAATACATTAGACCATTAAGTGGACTGGTCCAATTCAGTATCTCTTATTGTCCATTCAATTCATCTAATTTGATTTTGACTTGAACGAGTTCAACCCAAAACCGCTCCATTAACACCCCTTTCCATGCTTGGTCCAGAACCCAATAGTGTTTGGGGACATTTCTTAATTACTCGGATCCCCTCAGAGGCTCTGAAAACAAGGAAGCTCCACCTACCAAACCTACCCACGGTTGCTCTTAAATTTTTTTGTTTTATGCTATTTTCTTCCAAGTCTTCTAGGTTTTTAAAAGTGGAGAAGCAAAATTAGGAATAGCAATATGAAAGGCCTGCTTTGCTTCTTTGGCTCTCTTTCTTCATAAGAAAAGTTTTTATTAAATATAATTAATACCCTCAACAGTTTTTTAATGGAAGATAATATACAGTATCTACCTAGTTATTAATATGGGTCCAAATTGTTGGTATGGTGGGTAATCGGGTCCACTTTTATAAACCCTAGGTTTGAGAGAGAATTTGGATGCATGACTACATGCCAATGCCAATTAATGGGTGGGTGGGTGTGGAATTAAAAATTAAAACAGAGAAGCAAGTTTTTTCTTCTTTCTTTTGTCTCTTTGAAAAAGAAGAACAAAACACCTTTTAAGGTGACGTTTGGAATCAATGCTGTTTCCTGAGAAGAGTTTTTTTTTTTTTTTTCAGAAAACAATGCTACATAGACAGACTGTTTTCTCAAAAACGTTATTTCAGGTTTTTTATTTAATACCATTATTGTTGCTGCCACATAGGCATTTTTCATTGCTATGTCGTCATACCATTGCTAGCAATAGTAGAAAAAACGGAAAAACATCTAAAATGACGTTTTCTCAGACCACACTTCTATCCATTTCTAAAGTATGGTATGAGAAAACGTTTTTTTGTAAAATGGTTAATCAAACATTAAGTGTTTTCCGAAAAAAATAAATTTCAGACATGATGCTGATGTAGCACCATTTTAGAAAAATCGGCATTAATGCGAAAAACCTAATAACTTATTGCCAAAACTGATTTCCTTGCTAAGAAAAAATAGATTGATTAGTCTATCAATAAGGCTTACTCATAATATTAGTATTTGGTGCTGCACCACCCAATTTAATTGGCTGTACTACAGAAGTTTAAGATGAAAGATACAAGTAACAGCATTAGACAGCTCAAGACTTTAATAGACTATTTCATGGGCAACATCTTGGTTTTGGGCTACAAAACCCATGGAATTGTTTGGGCCATGTGATGCAATGTGCCACATTTTAAGAGAGATTGTGGGGGCCACCATTGAATGGGGTTTCACTAAAAAGTTGACTGAACTAAAAGCCATGTTGGGTATCGGAGAAAATAACAATAAAAGGACAAGTTTTGCTTAAAGTAGATGTTTACATTAATGAAGACATTATTAAGGTTCAATTAACACAACATTTTGGATGTCATCTTAAGTAATTATTTATTCATTTTAAATTTTGATCACTGAAAAAGATGGTACTAATTACATTTCAAGGAGTGAACTGAATACAATCCCCTAGATTAATGCATAGAAAAAAGGGGTCAAGCCCAACTGATCCATTAAAACTAGAAGCATGCTGAGTTTTAGGGACCCAAAACCTAAGTTTCCCTAATTTTTCTGGGATAATAGACCTCTCTTCTTCACTTCTCTTTTACCTCTACTAAAGTGAAGATTCCTTGCTGGATCCAAGGGTAGGGCACTGTATGAACAAATGACCTTATTTCAGGGTTTATTTTTTCCTTTTTATTCTGTGTGTGCATTTGGTAGTTTTGAATAGAAGGGCTTGGTGTTGAGAAGACAAATAAAGATTCTTTTAAGCTGTATTTGGTTTGAAAGAAAAGGTAAGGAAAGGAAGGGAAAGATAGGAAATATATACAAGATTTATTAAGGTCTTTTCATCTTTTCTTTCTTTTTCCTATCTTTTCTTTTAAACCAAACGCAGCCTTTAAAAAAAGAATGAGAAGAAGGGCAGAGTGAGGTCTCATCATCTATGGGCCAAGGGTTCAAATTGTTGCAAGGTAGCCTCGTTTATTTGTCCTTGATCAAAGAATTGTACAGTGAAGCAGTAATAGTTGACTAAAAAGAACTAAATAACAAATAAAACAGACGAGCATCAAACATCATGTGCCCACCATCCTCGATACAAAGTTGTTATTTTAGGCATCCTCAGTACAAAGTTCTAGGAAAGACACGAAAAGGTGAGAGCCTGAGATTTGAGGAAAAGGAGCAATCACCATAGAGATGATGCCTTTTTGTGTGGGTTTATGCCCATGGCCGACCTCCCTCTTGGCTGCACAAAAATAAGGATTTTGTGCACTTTGCACTTTGCACTGTGGAGTGCCGACTGCCGAGTGCCACTGCTTGTTCATGGTTCCTCAATGTCAGAAAATACTGCATCTAGGCACCACGTTTCAGGCTTTTCATGCATTCTTCATAGTTCTTACACGTATAGACACACACTATCTCGCTCTTTCTGTCTTGATTTATAAGAAGGGATGAGGTGATGTGTTAAGAAATCAAAATTCTAGAGTAGAAAATTGAGAGGAAGAGACGTATCAAGTTGCAACTACTTGAGATCATAGTAAAAAAGTTGAGAAAAAATGTAAAAACTGCATCTGTTTGCTATATTTTTTGTTTTTAGAAATTAATGGTCATTGGGCTTGATGCAAAGGCTCCTCCCAAGAAAAGCTTTGGATTGCAAATTTGCAATAAGTAACCTTGGGTTCTGTAGAGTTTTTATTTGCTCTTGTTTGAAAAAATTAATTTTCAAATTATATTTTATCCAAGTTTTAGCTAATAATTAAGAACTTCTGTGAAAAAGCTTATCTCATTTATTTTGCTCTGTTGGAAGATTTATTACCTACTTTGATTGCTCATCTGCTGAGATTTGCCATTCCATTTACTTCCCCATATAGGAAGTGTTCACTTTTCGATTTTCAGTTTTTAATTTTCATCTTCTCCCTCCCATTGACTTGCAGGTTTTATTTAGTTACAGTAAGAAAAGAACACATGTGTCCCTATCAAATGGCTTGCTAATCCTACATCTTCACATGACTAGAAGTTAGAAAATCTTGCTGGGTTTCTCATTGTTTTTGCTTAGCTTAGTTTCTTTGGAGGCAGATGGGCTTCCTAAGAGGAGCTGAAAAAGTTCCAAAATTGCAGTCTTTCTGAATCTTCTAGTTTCTTGTTTAGAAATATGAATTGGGTTTTCTTTGATACCCAGAAACCAGATTATTCCCTTTCTCTCAGCCAACCGACCTTCATTCTTCCTCGGCCATCCCCTCCTCCTCCTCTCTTCCAGTCCAACAGTTTCAGTGTGGATAACAAGATCAGTCCAAGCATCTTACTCCTAATCATAATCCTTGCTATTATCTTTTTCATCTCTGGTTTGCTTCACCTCCTTGTTAGATTCCTTCTGAGACCCCCCATTAGAGAGCCTGAAGATTTGGAAAATGTCAGTCCTTTGCAAGGGCAGTTGCAGCAGCTCTTCCATCTGCATGATGCAGGAGTAGATCAAGCATTCATAGACACCCTCCCTGTGTTTGTTTACAAAGCGATTATAGGGGCGAAGAACCCATTTGACTGTGCTGTCTGTCTATGCGAGTTTGAGGCCGAGGACAAGCTCAGATTACTCCCAAAATGCAGCCATGCCTTCCATATGGAGTGTATAGACACATGGCTCTTGTCCCACTCCACTTGCCCTCTCTGCAGGGGTAATCTGCTTCCCGATTTCTCTCCTCATGCTAGCTGCTCTCCCATTGTTCTTGTTCTTGAATCTGGGAGCGAAAGCTCCAGAGAATTCGCTGCAGATAGGGAAGCTGTTCTTAGTACTACCAATTCAGTTCCAGGAACTAGTGCCCATCTGGGATTTCATGGGGAAGATGAACTGGAGCCCTCTTCTAATAATGTTTCTCAGAAATCTTGTGAAATTTCAACGAAAGAGGATTCCCCTCCTGCAATACCAGTGGATTCTGATGAAAAGGTTGTTCCTGTCAAACTTGGGAAGTTCAGGAATGTCGATGCTGCTCCCGGAGGTGGCGGTGGCGGGGAAGGTAGTAGCAGTAGCAGTAATGTAGATGCAAGGAGGTGCTTTTCCATGGGGTCGTTTGAGTATGTCATGGATGAGAGTTCTTCGTTGCAGGTGGCCATAAGGCCACCCACACGAAAACAGACAAGTAGGAAGCCTTCTCTGCCATTAACGCCTGGCCACAGGCCTGCCATGTCTGAATGTGATTGTCATTCTACTAGATCAGAATTCAAGGGGCTTGAAGATAGGAGTACTGAGCTTCATGGAGCTGACAGTTTTGGTGCTGGAGATGTTGCCGGAGGTATCAGAGGGGAAAGCTTTTCTGTTTCAAAGATCTGGCTACGGTCCAAGAACGGGAAACCAACATCGTCAACTGAAGATTCTTCAAGGTGGGCATTCTCCTTCCGATACCCTTTGCAGAGGAATTCGGCAGACGATTTAAAGCTGAAGCATAGCGACAGTAGGAGGACAATCTGTGAGATTGATGTCGGCCGGTCGGAGAATGGTGGCAGTGAATTGGGTTTGGATGAGGAAGTCGGGAGCTGTATCAGTCTGGATTCTCAGGCTAATCCACCATCCTTTGCAAGGAGAACGCTGCTTTGGCTTGTGGGAAGACAGAATAAAGTGGTTCACTCATCTCCCACGCCTAATCCCTGATTCTTGGCTTTGTTTTTTGATTACTTGCTCTTGAGATTCCTGAATTTTGAATAATTAGTAGAAGATGAGAAACAAAAAAAAAAAAAAGAGAGAAAAAAAATGTAAAATTTATATACAATTTTTTTGCATTTTACTGTAGAATGCTCAGTTGAGAAAGCATTTTATGTGGAAGATTAATATTTTGCCTCCCTTCTCATGAATCCTAAAATTAGTGGGTTCATGTTCATGTATCTCAGTCTTATTCTGAATCTCTGACCATATCTGTTATTTTTTTTTTTATAAATCTCTTAGTTGACAAAATGAAGACAACAGAAAAAGGAGATAGAAGCAGAAAATTTTCAATTAGATCCTTTATTATGGGATCCAGTGATGTAGAGGTCAAAATGGGTTTCAAATTTGATATCATCTGTTTTTCTGGGGAACCTTGATGTTCTACTGAGAATTGCAGAAATTGCCAAGCAAGGTCTGTGTTACAGGCTGTTGCAGAATGCAGTTAATGTCTACAGTAGTCCAATGAATTTAAGCTCAAAGCTGAAAGCTACTTAGGGCTCGTTTGGTTCTTGGGAATAAGGATTTGGAATTGGAATGAGAATGGGCATTTCAATTTAACTGATTCCAATTCTGAATATGAACCAAACGGACCCTTAGATGTGGAGGGTGTTGATTCTGGCAATGTGATTAGTGATATTAACTCTGCAATCTTGTGATTAGGCAGAAGCATGAATTAGTTCACAATGAATCCTGTGGCAATTTGCCTTGTCTGCTTGAGATGCAACTTGGCAACTGAAATCAGTAATGGTGGTCTTGCCGGTAGGTCATGAATCATAATGGGCCATAACATCCAGAAGCCTGACCAACATCTCAATATCTTCATTATTAACAAGATTGTGAATCACTTGTAATAATTTAAGCACTTCATAAGGTACTTCTGAAGAAAGAACATGCTGTTAGTGTTGGACTTGGCCGGAGCTATGAATCTTAAGGTCTCAAACATGGAAAATTTCAAGTCCAGTGGCCTGGCAGAAGCTAAACAGTTATGTGCCTGCCGGACCACCTCTGCTCTATGATGTGCTACTGAGCCTGCCGGAGAAGATCAAACATGGAAATGCTCAAATCTAATGGCCTAGCACAAGTTAATCTGCTAAACAGTTAATGGGGTTTTCTGTTTGCAAGGAAATAAGTACTGTACAGCTTTACTCATCTTGGTGGTTGAGCCAGACATCCAGTTATCCGGCTGCCATACCACCATTGATCCCTGACAAGTCCTGTACAGCTCCACCCGTTTTGGTGGTTGAGACAGACAACCAGTTATCCTGCTGCCAAACCACCATTGTTCTGTGCTGTAGCCATCAGCATTGGGCATGGCATTGGCCTGGCCTTGGCTGTTCATCAGAAAACAATGTGAAAAAGAGAACCCTTACTGTTATTGTTGTTATTGTTTGGCTGCTTCTGTTTGTCTGACTAGTGGGCGAGGAAAGGCTGGTCCTAGAAAATGGTTGTCATTGGGGCCTTGTCTCTACTCTACTCTTCTCTACAAACTGAAAAGTGGTGCCTAAGAAAATCCACTTTCCAAGACATGGGAAAGAGCTCACATCATATGGATTGCTGCCAACCAATGGTGTTGCATTTTGAGCCCTTCTAAACACTTGTTATTGTTTTACACAGATGGATGTATTATAGTTTTCATTTTATTATTTTTTAATTGTTTTGTTTATAATGAAAGGTACACTCTTTAATCTTCTATCACTGTTCAGAGATTTTTTTTTTCTTCCCTTCTTTTTTAGATTTGTTGGGCATTTTGATTGCGAGAGATTTCAGTATTTTTTTTTTTTTCAAAATGAGACTCAACCTCTATGGCCCTATGGAAAGGCAACATGGACCCCCCCCCTACTTATATGACTAAGATTAACATATAGGGGCATATTTGTCATTTAGAAAATGTAAATTTTAATAAAAATTAGGAGTATGCTCGTTTTATCAAAAATGAGATGTGCCCCCCAAATTCCTCTTTTCCAATCATCAAGATGTTTGCATTCATAGAATTTGGATGCTCCAGGCTATTAAGCTAGAGATCACTTGTCTTACCAACTAATGAGATGATCCCACATGACAGGGTGATCTATATTCGATTAAGAGGAACATCAAGATTAGATTGGACTCTAAATTTGACACTTGATAGTTGATAGGAGCTCTGTTTCTTGTTTTGTTCATGGATAAGTTTCCTTCTTAATCTGATGAAAGCCATCCTTTGATGTGAGATGTCTCATTGGTAGGTAGGAGGAAACATTCATACAGACATAGGAGATTTACATATGTTACTCCAGAATACTTGCTCTTGGGGATGACTCTGTTTTGGTAGCCCACCTGAAATGAAATTAAGGTTCAATTTGTTTACAAGAGAATTTCGTTTTTGCTGTTGTAAATGCATGGAAGTGCAAATATGCCGAGTGTAAATACTGGTTTATTTTTGTTTTAGCTTCGGCTGTCTTATTTGGTTGTGAAAAGTAAAATTATGTAGTCTCCACCTTATATGAAAGAGAAAGAGATGGGACGATTATTTGTTTGGGAGTGAGGTTAAGAAGCAACATGATGTAATCCTCACTTTAAATGTGAGAGGATTGATGTAGGAGAAAGGTGGTGCCAAATTTGCACTGTCAGTGAGTGCAATTAAAAAAAAAGTAAAAATTTTGTATTGGGTAAGAGTGCAAATCATCATTACAAACAAATCGATATAAAAATCTTAACCTGATGCAAAATTTTTATCTATTTCAGATTTGCACTGAAAACAAATAGAGCCTAAGTGATTCAGGTCTCTCTTTACATCTTGAAGCACAAATTTATCATCCAAATGGATCCTTTTCCACCTAATTAACAGAATATTAAACTAAGTCAATTAATGCTTCTTGAAAAAAAAAATCTATCATAAATCCATATCTAGTAATTTGTGTTGCATGGGCAAAAACTTCTTTTTATTTTTAGTTTTTGTGGATACAAATATATTCAGTAGAAAACCTTGTATTTGTACAAATATGTCCAGTACAAGTATTTATAAACCTTGTATTTGCACTGTATTTACTTGTATTTGTACTCTTTCCCCAAGTAAAAGTATTATATCTCCCTTCTAAAACCAAGGTTCAAAACATGTATACATTCGTTTTGAGTATCAAAACTACTTTTCTTTTTATTCTTTTTACTTTCAAATTTTCACAGGGGCCCGGTGTTTATGTTATTTAACACTTAGAAATGGGAGTTTTTGGAAAGGTTTAAAAAATAGATATATCGCTGGAGAATACATATCCAGCTACCCCCGATTAAGGACAATCGGGAGATCCCCATTGAGTTTTGAACACGCCAGTGCTTTAATTCAATACTGGCCCGATATGATATTTTGTCTTTTTCACCTCTCTTATATGGGGGTTTATTTATATAGAAATTTTGAACCTTGGCTCAGGAACACTAATAAATATTATTTTAAACAGGATTTAAAGTATTGATAATTGGTTGATACTTATCGTGTCGGTGGTTTCTTGATACATTTTTATAGGGTGTGTATTGAGGTTCTGACCGGTTCAGGAGGTAAAGGAGTCTTAAACCAGTTTCTTTGAATCAATTTTGAAATAAAAAGACAAAAAAATATTATTGATATCATTCGATATACTCCTACCGATGTATCAAATGTATCGATATTTTGAACCTTATTTTTAAGCATAATGCAATCCTAACCAATCCTAAAGATTGGTTAGGATTGGATTGAGAATTAGGGTGCTCAAAGCTTCCCTCTCCACTTAATTAGATCAGGGATGCCAATGGGTCGAATTCACCAAGGGCTTGGATCAACCCAAATCCAACCTGACTAAATGAGAATAATGAGATGGGATAGCAATTCTATTGGGTTAGGGTCGTCGATTTTGGTTAAACTAAGCCCGTACCAAACCCATTCCGTTGATTATACATTTGTAAATATAAAACACTTTTGTTTATTGCTTAAACTAATAGCCCGTACCAAACCCATTCATTAGGTTTTTTTTTTTTTAAAAAAAAAAGAAGCAACTTCATTGATTATCAAAATATTTAAACCGTACATGATAATTAGTAGACCTGCTGTAGGAGATACTTATCTTTCCTTTACAAGCTACATAAGCTAGTTTATATTTACATGAACCAAAAAAGTAGAGCTGAAGTTTTGTACTCGTTTAGCAATATGGTATCCACAGATATGTTCTATCAAGCTTTTTGAGTTACTGTATACTGTGCAATATTCAAAGTGTTAGAAACATTGTGTATCAGAAAGGCAAACTTAAGAGACGTATCGAGATATATCTTGGATACGTATGGATACGGACAAAAAATTAATATATACATGGAAATTCTATAAATACTCCAATAAATCATAAATAAACATCAATACCACTAAATATAAGACATAAACGAGCTATTTATGCATAAAAATAATATGCTTTAGTGGGTTTTGTGAAAAAAAAAAACATATTATGATCAATAATTTTCTAAAATTGAATGGATTTATAGACATAATAGATCAAATAATTATTTCACATGTTTCATTCTAATTTTCTAAAAACTAATTAATTATTTACTTTTATTCAAATAATTATTTTGCATGTTTTATTCTAAAAATTAAATTAAAATTAAGAAAAGTAAATATGTAATAGAAAAATTGAATGGATTTATAGACATAATAGATCAAATAATTATTTTGCACGTTTCATTCTAATTTTCTAAAAACTAAATAATTATTTATTTTTATTCAAATAATTATATTACATATTTTATTCTAAAAATTAATTTTAAATTAATAAAAATAAATATGTAACAGAAAAATTGAATGGATTTATGGACATAATATATCAAATAATTATTTTGCATGTTTTGTTCTAAAAATTAAACTAAAAATCAAAAGTAAATATGTAACAAAAAATTGAATGGGTTTATGGACATAATAGATCATCCATATATTTACTGTAAATATTTATTATTAGAATTTAGATCATAGAAAAAAATTAGAGAAATAAATAAATATTTATAATCTAAAAATAAAAAAATAAAAAAATAAAATTTTCACATGATATTTGAATATATTGATGTATGGAATTATGGACCATGTTAGATCTACCTTAGCTCTACAACATACTCAGCCTATAGGTTTAGATCACATAAAATTAAAGA